TTAAAGTAGCTAAAACAACAAAATCCTATCATTGCTATGACTATTAAAATTCCAAGAATTATACCAACTATTTCTTAAAAAAAAAAAAAAACACATATATACATGAATATAACTGATAAATTGAAATTAATCAGCATTTACATACGTGTATTTGTATTTAACATTACCTATTATAGATATTGGCATTGATGAATTATTCTGCTGTGCTGGGCCTTCATTTATCGAAGAACGAGTTTCGATTTTACTTATGGAATGAGGTGGAGATATTATATATGGTGAAATATCAGGCTTTGGTTCATTTCGTTTTTCCGGATGATCAGATGATTGTAAGGAAAATGGCTTTTGTGTGACGGATGGGGAGAATGGATGGGTCTCAAATAAACGAAAACAATCATTATCCTTGACATTCTCGCCTATAATAAAAGGTATTTAATGATCTAATTAAGATTATAACACGTATAATATCAAAATTTTAATATATTATAATTATATACTCTGCGAGCACAAGGCATCAAGATCGTTATTATTTCCGTTATTCATAATGTCATTTATTATTTGAGATTTTTTTTTTCTTTTGAATAAAAAAATTTCGGAATTATTTAGATACTGATATGGTCAGAGAATAAGAAAAACATAAAAAAAGAGCCAAAGAAACCTCAAATCATGGAGAATGGAGGCCCTATAGAACGAAAAAGCTTTAAGAAACAACTATTGGAGAGTAATATATAATAATGGATATGTTTTTTATGAACTAATAAGAACAACAAAAATATGTTGTTGACCAAAATAGTCCATCTGTGTATCTCTACATCGACCGACGATGAAGTGAAGAACGAAAGGCCCGTGAGACAATTAACTAAAAAAGGAAACAAGAAAAGTCATTATTTCTACGTATATCCGCTTGTTTCATGTCTCGAGGGTACATACGTACGTACTTGTCTGAAAATATCTACAGTGTGATCGATACACATCCCGTCTGCCACATTTATTATAATAAAATCACATACGCTTTACATCCGTCTGCCACATTTGTAATAATAAATCACAGATTACAACACAAAGGATGCACAAGAAAGAACGTATGAAAGAACAATTTAGAAAGCAAGTTCTTTAATTCGGCCATACGTTTTTGCTACGTAAATACTTCAAAGTCCTGAGTGAGTTTTACTTTATCCTTTGTCAACTGCTAGTTTAATAATAATTATTAGAATAATGAACAATATCAAGTATAATGATTGTCGAATCGAACTTATGCATATTTGTTTGTTAATCATCTGTTTTCTAGAAACGGAAATGGCGTCAATTTTTTTAATACCAATTTAATACACACTAACGAATAAAAACTAACATAGTAAATAGATTTACATACAAAAGTTACAATGAGCTAAATAACATTTTGACGGAGAAATTTAATTAATTTAAAATTTTAGTCATCATTATGTATGTATGTATGTATGTATATCGCATACATATTAGCGTAATCATGAACAATGAATAACGATATGTATAAATTTATTCCATTTAAATTACAGTTTAATTACAGCTTAATTACAGTTCAAAAATTTATTTAAAACTTAATGCTGCAGATGCCCGTAACTTATACTAAATTTAGTACAGAACTACTAAAAATACCGGTATGTAAACTTGAAAAATATTTATTATGGTATATCCTTATTTTACATCCTAAAAGTAGTAAAGTGTACGTTTGTACGTACACGGGTATCGACATTTATGAGATTGGGCGTCGTCAGTCAAAAACGAGTCGTGAGATTTAAAACTTTTATTACGTAAAAAAATTATAAATTCAGATTTCAAAATTTATTTTTCGATCAGTTTTTAGTTAACAGGTATCGGACATATTTCACATCACCATTAGTATTGAAGACGGCCGAACTTTCTCGAATAAACAATTTAGTACGATGCGAGAAAAAAACATTAACATAAAAGGTTAGTGTTAGTTATAACGTAAATTAGGTTGTAATATTTAATAAGTAAATATTTAAAAAGTAAATATAAGCTATGATCGACAATGTCGGTAAATAAAACTATATACGTATCAATTCGTATGATAATTATACAATAAATTCTATTTAATTTACTACGTATGATGATTATTAAAAAAATTATACAATAAATTCTATTTAATTTCTGATAATTGTTAAATAAACTTATTAGCAAAAAGTAATAAAATTATACTCTTACAACATATTTTGATTAATAACTTCCTAGAAATTTTTCATGTTTATAAAGAGGCACATTTCTCTTTTCTCATTTGACAATACATTATTTATTTTTTTTTTAAAAAAAAAATACAATATTTAAACAAATTTATATAACACATATTTGAAAGTAACAATTACTAAAATAACAATTAATTTTATCGATAAAAACCGGTAGAAAACTTGATCTCTCCAACACTGCAATAATCAAACAAATTCGTGGAAAACTCATGTAAATACTTTATCACAAAAATACTTATAGTATATAATGGGACCTAAAAAGAAAGCAATAAACATCTAACAGGTATCGCAGATAAAATCTTAGATACCCTGTGAGTACCCATATTCGATTATGATTTTTTTTTATGTGGATTGAAAATATCTTACTTTTTTAACAGAAATGATACATGGAACAATCCCGCATTTGGACCCGACGTTGCAGGAACACTGAATGAATGCACATACGTAACATATAAGGAGACTTATGAATTCATGAATCGTTATATAAAATGAAAACATAAGAACTTACCTTATAAAACGCGTGTTTATGGAAAAATAAAGAATATTATATATAATTGCTCAACTTGAAAAGGAAGATTTTATTT